CTTCCCGAGACCTACTGCCTCAAGGTCCGCGATCGAGGCCTCAAACAAAGGCTCGAATTGGTGGCCTGTGAGCTTACCCTTAGCGAGAGAGGCATGCTCACCATCCACGCGGACTTCTCTTTCCTCCCGCGATTCCCCGAACATCAAGTGTTTGTTCTTGATGCGGTCATACACCGCCTGTGGATCTGAGAGAACCTCTCCCGATTTCCACGCTGCGCGGTACGCGTTCGTGTACGTCTTCATGCGCGAGCCGCGGCAGCGCCCGCGTAGCGCTAACAGCTTTTCGCGCGCACTCATACCGCGACAGTTGTTGGCCAGCGCGCAGACGTCCTCGAACTCCTCGTAGAACAGGACAACGTCTCGCGCGTCCGCCTTGTCGTCGGTCAGCGTCGGCCACGTGAGGTCAGTTTTGACCGTAGTTATGGAGCTTTGCCCGCCCCTCTGCGCTAACGCTTCTTTCAGCGCCTCAGTTTGGGCGGCGAGTGCGGCGGCGAGATCGCCCGCCGGGTGTTGGGACCCGGTCTGCGAACCTCCGCCGTCTGAACCTCGCTTCAGGGCTTCTATCTCCATCTCTAGCGCAGCAAGCTTCGCGCGCAAAGGGGAATCGCCGTCCGTCGCGCCCAGGACACGGGCCGCGGAAGGACCACCTGCAACCTCAGCAGTGTGCAAACCTCCACGGTCCAAACCTACCCCCAACCCACTTGCAGTCGCAGGCTGTGGGAGCCCTGGGGAACGCGGCCCCACGGCTTCAACTGGCACATCGGACGGGGAGCTCCAACCCTTCTCTTGGCTCGAGCTTTCTTTTCCCCCTAGCGCGAGGATAAGCTCCCCGATGCATTGGATTTCGCGCTGAATCTCCTCTGCGTCTTCGGGGTCCTCGCCACCGCGCAAAGCCGCGACCGAGAACCTGGTCCGCAGCCGACGGACCATCTTCGTAGGATGCCAGTCCCGCCTATCTTGGAGAACTCATCCGCAAGGAGGGTGGCTTTGGTGCTTAAGGCGTCAAGGTCACGGGAGCTCACCGTGACTCCATGCGCTTTCAGCGCGAGGACAATCCGCGAAACGCGCGTCAAGTAGTCCGCGACCGGTTCTTGGTCTGGACGGAAAATCGCGCGCAGCTCCGCCTGCAAGCCCTCTGCGGTGCCTGGCACTGAACCTGCTGTCGACGGCGGACCGGACGGTCCCGCCGGGCGGGCCCCTGGTGCCGTAGCAGGGACATAGGCAGCACCGGTAGGGACCATGGCCAGCTCCCTAGCCGCGGCGCTGACGTCCACCCGCGGCGGACTGTCGCCTCCAGCGCCCGAAGCCTCAGGGACTAGCTCGGAGTCCTCTTCTTCTTCCTCTTCATCCTCGTCCTCCTCTTCGGCGTCATGGAGGAACTTCATGACTTTCCGCCAGAGAGCCGCCTCTTGCTCTGGCGTAGTGCTGACCCCATCCCGCTTGGACAATGGACGGCTGCCAGTCTCCCTACGCCACTTAAGCCAAGCGACGTAGCTCATCCGCTCGGGATAGGGAACGTCTCCACCCTCGATAGCTTCGAGGAGGGTGACGCCCTCAGCCTGACCTGCAACCTCTGCGGACATTGCCGCAACACAAGGCGAAAAGCCGCGCCTTGGTTAGCAGGCCGCAGGCGTGGCACGCGAAGCGCCGCGCCTTGGTTAACAGGCCGCAAGCGTGGCACACAGTCCACGCGTCCAGGTCACGGACCGCGACAGACAAGCAAAGCAATGCTTTCCCACTCGGGCCGTAGGCACAAGAGCTGTACGTTTCCCAGAACAGCCCCCAATTGTGAAGTCGACCAGCACTGGACTTGCACTAAGCCAATGCAATCACAGCCCGGTCACGCTGTTTTACGACTTCGTGAGTCCAAGCACTTGTGCAGCTACGCCTGAGTGCGTCCGGTCGGACCGCACAGCAACCTAGGAGCTACTGTACGACTCTACCGTGCTCAAAGGCACAAGCTCGGTACTTGAGCCAAAATATTGGCATTGATACGAATTGCAAATCTACACATGCAAAGGAAAACTACAGTACTGGTTCTGGCAGCTCTGCACATGGAACGTGCGTGCTTAGACCTGCTCACAACATAACCCCTATGTATATACACCTCATATAGTCCCGTCCCTAAATCCCTAAGTAGCCAGTGAGTAACCCCTAACATACACCCCAAGGTCCCTTATAAGGGTCCCTCCTTTAGTCCCTTGACTGATTTGGAGATCCCTTTCGGGTGCCTATGCTCAGCTCTTCACAAGATGGTGGGACCCCATTGGGTTTGTCACGCCCTATGATAACATGCTGTAATACAGTACAGCATCCCCCTACACCCTAAAACCCGAAAAGCCAGGGTTTAGGGTTTAGGGTTTAGGGTTTAGGGTTTAGGGATTAGGGTTTAGGGTTTAGGGTTTAGGGTTTAGGGACTACCTTAACTCCGATACCCTGAATGCCAAACCCTCCATATCCCGCGAAACCGTGCTCTCCAATGCCTGCTGATTGGTCTTGCCCACGTCGACCAAAGCTTCACCCGCCTCGCAGAATCACCCAAACCCTGAGCCCCCAAACCCTCACGAAACCCTAAACCCTACATCCGAAATCCACATCCCGAAACCCACGCTAAACCCTAAACCCTAAACCCTAAACCCCAAACCCCAAACTCACCATGCTCCAGGCGGCCCTTTTCTAGCGAGGGTTCCCCGCTTACGGGTAAACGAATAACCCCCCCTCCCGGGCTTGGACCCCGTCACCGCGAAGAAGGTATAGGGTTTAGGGTTTAGGGTTTGGGGTTTAGGGTTCAGGGTTTAGGATTTGGGGTTTAGGGTTTGGGGTTTAGGGTTTCGGGTTTAGGGTTTAGGTTTTCAGGGTCCTGCTTCACCCTGCGGCCGACACCCCCTAAGCTGCACAATCCGTACTGCAGGTTTAGGGTCTGGGGTTTAGGGTTTAGCGTTTCGGGTTTATAGGGTTTAGGGTTTAGGATTTAGGGTTTAGGCAAACCCCAAAAATTGCAACATACAAGTACCCCAGTTCGGTCCTCGAAGGGGGCTGCATGCAGTTTGCCGTATTCGTTTGTTGTCTTGAGGGGGCTGTGGGGGGGAGAACCAATACACCGAACCCTACACTCCAAAGCCCCAAAGCCCTAGCCCTTACTCCACATCCTATGAACGTAACATCTCCACGTCCCCGCCTACTGGACATCCCAGAAAGACTGTCGCTGCAGGCTATTCAGACCCAATCTCCTCAAACCTCCACCCTGGCCCTGAACCCTATACACACTAATCCACCCCGCGCAAGAAGCACAAGAAGGAGGAGAATTAGCAATTCGGGCTACCCTAAACCCTAAACCCTAAACCCTAAACCCTAAACCCTAAACCCTAAACCCTAAACCTTAGGTTCAGGGCTTCGGGCCGGGCTTCTGAAGCTCTAACCCGCCGCTTCCCGGAGAACACGGAACGAACGCCTGACCGATAGCTACATGTGACTCGTTTGGCGAGGGCGTTCAACCCTAAAGAGCCAACAAGGGGGGTTTAGGGTTTAGGGTTTAGGGTTTAGGGTTTAGGGTTTAGGGTTTAGGGTTTAGGGTTCCCCAAACCCTAGACCCTAAACAAATACACAACACTCAAAGAGTACAAGGTGTGCCTCAGCTTGCCTCCAGCAACTCAAAACCCCAAAATTGGGATGCTCCCCCCTTATACTAGCAATCCGTATCAGGGATTGTAATAGAGGGTACTAGAATCCCTATGAAGGACTGCTAGTAGAAGGGGGAACATCCCAACCCCTAAACCCAATAAAACCCTAAACCCTAAACCCGAAAACCCTAAAACCCTAAAACCCTAAAACCATAAAACCCTAAACGCTAAACGCGAAACGCTAAACGCTAAACGCTAAACCCTAAACCCTAAACCCTCGAGTCCTGTAGCTTTTTGACGGTGCCCTCCATGGTCTGACCTCGTCATGTCCCACTTCGCAGGCTTGTGAAAGAGAGGGTCTCGTAACTTCGCAAGGATTAGGGTTTAGGGTTTAGGGTTTAGGTTGGGGATCCCTTCTAACACGTTCTCTTTATCGGATTTGGGGTACCAAGTTGGCTACCATTGCCAAGCCTGGTTAACTCCTATTGTTGGCGAGTTAACCCTAAATCCTGGGCCTGGTTAACTCCTATTTTGGGCCAAGTTGACTCTTACCCCTGGGCCTGGTTCACAACCAATCCGCGGGCCCTTAACCCGTCGCCCATAAACCTAAGGCTAAGTCTAAGACCAAACCCCTGCCCAAACCCCAGCCCTGGCGTGCCTCAGCGATCCGATCATCAGCATCAGTGAATAGATTTTTGCTGAAGCTGAGTGGGGCTTCGAGATTGTGTTGAGGGCATGTTTCGCCCGGCAGGCCACTTTCGGGCCACATGGCTAAGTACCACGGTATGGTATGGTATGGTATGGTCCCATACAACATCGTATGGTCTGGCATGGTAAGATGAAAAGATACGACAGGTTTCTGTACAAAGCTCGCAAACATATCACATCGACGTGTGACATAAGCGGCTGGGAACTCGGCAAGCACAGCCACGCCCTGAGGACCTCAAGGCCTCTGAAACACCCTGAGCAACCCTAAACCCAAAAGACTCAAGGCTAAACCTAAACCCAAAACCCTAAACGGTTTAGGGTTTCGGCGGTTTAGGGTTTAAAGTTTAGGGTTTAGGGTTTAGGCTAAACCCTAAACCGTTTCTAAGCCCTGCCTAAACTATTAACTTGAAAGTCTAAACCCTAAAGCCTTAAAACCTAACCCTTAAACCCTAAACCCTAAAGCCTGAACCCTGCACCCTAAGTCAAAACTCCACCACCAAGACCTGGTTAAGAGGGGGGTAGGCTTGGGCTCTGGCCTCGGCTTGCAAAGTTGCTGGCACATCCCCTGCAAATATGTTACAACGCCAGTCCCAGTAAAACTATGTGCACGAAAATGCGAAGCGAGCAAAAGGTCAACCTGCTGCATTCCCCTCTCCACTCGCAGAGTGAAGCTCACTTGGTGCTTCCCTTCAGGGCGGCGGCCCTCTTGGACAGAGCCGGTTCAGCAAGGATCTTCTTTTTCTCCAAGATGTTCTGGCACCTGCTGACCAGCCCAAGCCGGGTTTCACCTGGTTGCAAGGTCCGAGTCAATGCTTGAGCCAAGGTCATGCTTCCATTCATGTACCGGACGGTTGCCATAGTGGCTTTGCCAGACTGGTTGTCCTGAGCCACTGCACCGTTGACTGCTTGGAAGTCCCTGACGTCAACCAAGGTAGCCGCAATCAGAGAACTGGTAACTTCAGTCATCCAATCGCTCACTGGCACCAGCTTCAAGTCACTCAAGAAGGAAGCACTTTCTGAAAGAATGCGATCGGCCCGAGTACCTGAATGAACGAGCTTTTGCATATTCGAATCGTTTGCTAAGTCCGAGATGGCCTGCTTGTCCAAAGGGTCTGACTGGAAGATGGCCACAGCATCCTGCGCGGTCATCAGGTCTGTGTAGAAGCCCTTGACACTCGAGACGAGGCTTTCGATGTCGTTGGCCATAACCGCCACGATGTCGCCGCACGATTCCCGCATGGTCTTTTGAAGGGCCTTGTAGAAAGCACTGACACCATCCATGTTGCCTGTGAGGGCGACAGCCTGGACAAGCATCTCGTCGAAATGCTTGGAGGCCGACGCGAGCTTGCCGAAAACGAACTGACAGCCAAGCAGCCGAGATGTTTTGGTGTCCCACTGGATGGGGGACTCCTTCTTGGCCTGCATGGTCGCGAGCAGCATGTCCTTCCAGAGCTTTGCGCCCTTACATTCCTTCAGTTTGTTCACACAAACCATGACATACTTCGCAACTCGCAAAAGAGCACCGACTATGCAAAGGAAGGCAGCGTGCACCTGCACATTTGTTTGGCCATCCGGGCCATCCAGTTTGAGTGCAACCTTGCTCCCACCGAAGTACTTGAAATAGGAAGAAAAGGCGAAGAACCAGTCGAGGTCCTGCTTGGTCTCTGAAGAGTCCTCGGCATGGATCTCCAAGACTCCAAGAACCTCCTCTCGAAGTGTGCCCTGGACCATGTCGTCTGTGACTTCAGGCTCGAGCAGCTTGCCTGCAAAGCTGGCGAACGTGGAGCTGACCTGAGCGAGCCACCTCTCGAGGCACAGCTGCATAGCCCCAGCAAGATTGTCCAAGGCCTTGTCCAAGAAGGGAACTGTCGATGCTAGCTGCTTCCTGGCCTCCTTGTCGTTTAGCTTGCCGAAGAGCTTGGCAACCTGGGGCTCGGAGATGAGGTCCTCGTTGACATCCTCAGTGAGAACTTTCGTGATGACCTGGAAAGCATCCTTCAACACACTCATGTATGCCTTGACGACTGAGATCTCCTGCTCCAAGCTTTCTGCCAAAGACTTGCCGAGAAGCTTGGCAAGGGGAACCTTTGCCAGTGGATGAAAGCCACCCATTTGACCGATCATCTCGAACAACACCGGGCCATCGGCTCCCAATGAACCCTTCGCCCAAATTTGCATGTGGCGCAGAAGGGGTTCGCCAAACTGCTTTGCATACTTTGCACGAACAACGGACATCAAAGCTCCATACAGCTCGTCGACTTTGGCACTGACTAGCTTGACAGCATCCTGCGAACTTGCCAGGAGTTCCTCGCTGGCCTTCTCCCTGAAGCCCAAAAACTTGGCCGTCATCTCCACGAACTTCGCTTGCCCGGGGATGACAATATCCCACTCGCCACCATCCCTCTGCTTCAGGAGGACCTCAGCATCAAAGTTTCTCATGCCTTGGGCAAGATTGACGGCTGAGTCGATGTCAAGCGCAAGCAGGAGGTCAGAGCGATGCTGCTGCACGAGCTGCGAAACCCGAGAGCAAATCTCAACCCCCACAGGGCTCATTGCCACGGCAGTGTACAAGGGACCACTTCTGGCTTTCGTGAGGCTAGTTCTGGCATTCTCCAGCTGCTCGCAGGCGGCTGAATCAAGACCATGTGGCTGCAAGGTCGCTGCCACCAGGTTTGCTACCTTGTTGATGTCCTCCACGATGAGGCACTTGGCTTCCGAAAGCTGGCTCTGCAAGGACGAAGCCTTCCAGATGGTCAGGAAATCCGAAATGTCTTTGATAGTGGCGTTGACGATGTTCTTCTTCTCCATTTGCGCCAGCTCCGGTTCTTTCGCCTTCGGCACCACGGACGTCATGAAGAGCTGTGTCAAGCAAGCTCCAAGACACGCGCACTGAAAGTCGCGAACTTCAGCAGGAACCTCCTTGCCTGCAGAGTCGGATGCGGGCATGAGCGAACTGACACCATCGGGAAATTCCGTCTTGAACTTCGTATCCAGAAACTTGCACACTTGCTCAAAGTGCCGCAACTGCATGTGCTCTTCAGCTGCCCGACGACAGATGACGCTCGTGATGTTCTTAGGCAGCTGGACACCCACCGCCTCCAAAGCACGAGCCCGCTGCGATAAGGTCGCTGGGCTTGCCTCCAAGAAAACAAATCAAGAAACGACAACTAAACGAAAAGCAAGCTTAGAAAAAAATGAGATGCCTGGCCTCGGTGTCCTGCAGGGCTTCAAGGAAGTCAGCAGACAGCTCCATATTTCGAAATTCGGTCTTCAAGTCGTCCCAGACTTTGGCAGCTCGTGAACCAGGGCCGTGGGCTCGAATGGATTCCATGTAGAGGCCTGTCAACTCCTCAGTCAATCTGGACTGCACCTTCTCCTTCATGGATACGGCCCTGGTGAACGGAAAGCGTGTCACTAGTGGGTCCTGAAGGGAGACACGAAGTTGCTGAGCTTGAAGTACCATGGCCTCGCTCTTCTCCAGCTCACGGCTCTCGTTGCACTTCTTCCTACCAATCTTTGGGAGCCCAAGCTGTGCAAAGCCCAGCCCTGCTGGCTCCTCTGGGTTGACTCTGGGGGCACCCTCGTTGTGAGTGCACTCGTTGCGGGATGACCGGGCTGTCCTGGCTCGCTTGGACCTGGCCGGTCTATCTTCGTCGTCCGACTCCTTGGCTGGCTTCGAGTTGCCGGTGCCTGACATGTTGTTTGGAATTTACAAACCCATCAACTTTTGTTCTCCTATTCCCAGCCGTTTCTCTCTCTCTCTCTCTCTCTCTCTCTCTCTCTCTCTCTCTCTCCCTCTCTCTCTCTCCCTCCCTCTCTCTCTCTCTCCCTAAACCCTAAACCCTAAACCCTAAACCCTAAACCCGAAACCCGAAACCCTAAACCCTAAACCCTAAACCCTAAACCCTAAACCCTAAACCCCAGACCCTAAACCCTAAACCCTAAACCCTAAACCCTAAACCCTAAACCCTAACCCTAACCGAAACCCTAAACCCTAAACCGCGTAAACCCTATAGCCTCAACCCTAAACCCTAAAGTCTAAACCCTAAACTCTAGGGGTTTGGTTTAGCCGCAGTCCGATCCGCAGTGCCTCCGATGTTGTTGTCACCCCACAAGATCGCTGCCAAGTCGTCGTCGCTGTCAGCTCCGCCCTTCGCCTTGGACTTGCTTAAGACGATGTCCTGACCGTCAGACGCTGCAGCTGAAGAGGCCACATTGACGGACTTCTCGAGAGAAGAAAAAGCCAGGCATGGATCAGGGCCATCGGCGTCCTCGCTGTCAGCCACAGACACACTTTGGCGAGCCTTCTTTGACGAGTTGGTCGAAACCTCGATGCATCCGATGGCCCATTCCTTCAGCACAGCTCCTCGGACTTGCTTCCCCATGTGAGGCACACTCTGCAACTTCTTTGGCACAGGTTTCCCATGATCCTTGAGAAGCGCCACGGGCCACAAATACCCGAGTATCTGCTTCGTCTCCAAGCCTGACTCGGACACAGCCGCCACGGACGTGGCACGTTTCCGAGCTCGTCGCTGACCTTGTCGTCTGGCTGACTCCCACGGAAGCAGGCCACTCATGTACTCGGCATGGTTGTCATCGTCCTCGAGGAGGGAGTACCGTTCTTCGCTGGAAAGCTTCGAGTAGGCGTCAGAATTGGACATGAAACTGAAGCACGGCTTGCATTGGGCAGCACCTGGAACTCGGCGCTTCAGCAAGTCTCCCTCGGCTGGACCCTGAACGATGGGGTTTGGGGTGGTCAAGAAAGACCGCCTGCAAGTTTTGCAGGTCGGGGGCCCCGTCTTGCCAGATGCCGATGCCATGCGAGTCAGGTCTGGGAGTGGGAGAGGGCAAGAAAGCTGAAACGTTTGACCCTGCAAGTTCTGCAAGACATTCCTGTGTTCCGACAACAAGCTGTCAGGGCACGACTAGCTCAAATGCAAGCAATCTGACTTCAGACCATTGTGTGAAGCTCAAAAAAAAAGCTTGATGCTCTCTGCTGTTCAGGCTTTTGCTTAAGGTTTTCGGCTTGTGGAGCACCAGATTCTGCACGAAAAGTTAACTCTTGGGGGGCCCCGGTTAGCGGTTAACTTCCAGGCCGAAATTAAGGGTTAACTGTGCTCCCCCCCTAGGTTTTGAGCGGTTAACCCTTAATTCTGGCCCCCTGGTTAACTCCTAACTGGGCCCCCCCTAAGGGTTAACTGGTCGATGCAACTCGTGGTCACACTGGTCACACCGATGCCCTTTTCGACTCGTTCTGCAAACAAATTCAGGCGCGAACCTTCATGCCAATGGACCTTCTCAACTCCAGACTTAGGCGGGCATGGCTGTCAGGCGACTCCTTGTGAGCCACACGGAGCCATTGCAAAAGTAAGTCGGAGTGATGCGTGTTGCTGATCCAGCACTCACATTTTTTGTGTTTCCTGCACACAGCTCTGAGTGACTCTTGCCCTGTTGCATGTTTCACTAGCAGATTGGCAGCACCTAACTCCTCCACCACACCTCGAAACACTCGGCGAACCGTGCAGAAAGTGGTACCATGACCACCGTACTTGACTTCAACCCGGCTGCCATCTTCCTCGGTCGACAGCAACTGCCAGTCATGCACCACGCCAGAGCTGCCAGCTGCCGCCGCTCTGCTCACTGGTTCAGACGGCCCTGGTCGTCCAACATCTGCTGAAGCTGCTGAACCAGATGCCGGAGCTGATGAAGTTCGAGTGGAGCAAGCGGCACCGTGTTCCTGTTCTTCAACGTCACAGTCAACGTGGCACTCCTCAAGAATGTCACTGTCTGAGTCTGCAGACGCGCGGGTCGACATCCAAGTTTGCTCAGGGACCTCTATGGCGCTGCAGACCTCCACAGCCTTCTTGAGTTCTGCAATTTGTTTTGGCCCGAGAATAGCCTGCAGCTGTGGGTCATCCAGGATGTCCTGTCAAATGACTCCAACAGCTAAAAGAAACAAACCTTTGTTACAGCCCTAGACCCTTGGCCCTGGACCCATGAACATTGCTAACGAGAATCTGTCTCGTTGGCAACATTTTTCTGGACATCACCTTCTTCACCAGGCGGCTGCACAGAGGTCCGTCTTGTCCTCCTCCTCTTTGTGGGCGGGAGATCTGGGCCGGCACCATCGTCCAGCAAGGACAGAAAATCCACACCGTCGCCGGCGCGTGCATCGTCATACTCTTCGGGCTGTCCAGGCTCCATGAGTGGCTCCCCTGCAACCTCTGAGTCATCCTGCCCTGCATCGCCATCCACAGTCACCACGGCTTGCTGGAAGCTAGTGTCCAACCCTGTCACTCGAACCTGCTTTGGGCTGATGTCTTGGAACAGCAACTTGTTGATTACCACTGTGCTGGGAGACATGTTCTCGTCGTCGAACAGACTGAGCAAATGAAAGGCGAATGCGTCTGAGAGAAGCGTCTGCAAACGACCTACCCGCCTTTCACCAGCAGGGACAGGCAAGTAGTCCTTCTGGCAATCCACATACTTCTCAAAAGCCAGGTCGAGCAGCATATTGTCAAACCTCCCTGGCCCAGCCCCAAACTGAAAGGGCTCGGAAATTTCAGCGAGAACGAAAACCTGATCTGCCTTCAATGCTCCTGCTCTGGAAGAGACAGCAGTGAGCCAAGCATATTGCCGGACCACATGTCGTCTAGGCCTGGCAGAAGAGAACACTTCGAAAGCCAGCAGCACATCTGCTTGCACGGTAGCTGTCGGAGAAGCATAGAGCCCGACGATCTCCAGGAAAGCCGCCAACAAGTTCCTGTGCAACTGAATGCCTGGCAGACGAGGCTGCTCGTGCAGTAAAGTTATAGGCATTAGGGCTTGGCCTGTTTAGGGTTTAGGGTCTTGGGGTGATCGAAGCTAGCAGCTACCTGGTCTCGGGGTCTGAGTATCATCACAAAGTCCAATCAGACAGGAAACGTTCCACTTCTCCAGTGTTGCGACACTGGCAACCGCAGAAGCCCTCGTACACGACCTTCTTGGGAAATCGGTCGGCGTCCGGCGGGCGAGCCATTCTTTCCATCTCCCGATCGAAATGAAGCTCGGCCTGTTTGGCAGTGATGCCCTTCGCCCGCTGCGCTCGTGCTATGCTTTCCAGATCTCTTCCGAGACAGGATAGTCATGCTTGGCTAACTGAAATTTGCTTCTCGCAGGCTCGCCACCCGAATACGGTGAGACCAATGCTTTCAGATCTCTTGTTTCGAGGAGCCGTTGCAAAGGCATCGCGTTCAGAAGCTTCGGCGCAAAGGGCTGCCCGTGCAGGGCACGAACATCTTGCGAGTCAGAAATGGCAGGCTGGGCAATGACTTGGTGCTGTGCTCTTTGCAATTTGGCATCTTGTTTGGTGGCCTGGGCCATCGCCTCATAGATTTGCTTCTGCTCAGCTGGCAGCTCTCTCCAAGCATCGCGAACCTGATCCCACACTGCTCTCGTCACCGGGTTCACAGCCCCACCGAACTGCTGTTGTCGCAGCCACTCAGCACGATACAGTTCCAAGGCCGACTTGCCCTTGGCTCTTCGGCGGGTCTTGTCCTTCACTGTCAAGTCCCCCGCTGATACCTGGATGTCTGCAACCTTTTCTTTAGCGGAGGCAGGCCACGTGTGCTGTCGTGCTTGACGAGCTATGAGGTAAGAATCCGAGTTGATGAACTTAGCCGCTATAGTGCTGAATCCGCTCTCGGCATTCTGCCGGTTAGCGGCATGCTTGACCTCCACATCAGCAACACTCAGCTGCAAAGTGGATGCATAGAAATGCATGATTCTTTTCCAATGCTTGCTGAGCAGGTCCTCTGCAGTCACTTCTCGGGCCTTCAAGGCTCGTGCCAGGCCTGGAGTTACACAACAGGCACGCTTTCTTCTCCACGACGCCAGAAATGAAGACAATACCTCGGGGCAAGCTTGCTCATCACCAACGACAGCCACTAGAAAAGCATCTCCGTGCAGATACTCAAAGTGACGACGATATTGCCAAGCCGATGCATGGAGCAACACTCTCCTGATTTCACGAACCAGATGTGGCTCGCAAA